AATGACCAGGCGTTCTATTCGGGTGGAGTGGTTAGTTGGAGGTTGGAGGTTGGATGAGAACTTGGGCAACATGCTGACCTAAAAAGAAGAAAGTGAAGAGAACTGAAGTGATCGAAGTGATCGAGCAAAGAGGCTGGAAAGTGGCGCAGCGATCCACCGGAGACTTTGACCTGAATAGAGCGCCCGGTCACTTCAACTGTATCTCGACTTCAAGTTTCGCCCAATACGGCTATAACAAAAAAAAAAAAAAAAAAAAGGGCTATAACGATCGGGTGTTCTATGCCGGGTGAAGATTGTAGATAATGGTGATGATGATTTATGATGATGATCATCATGATCATTATGCTGCCCACGTGGCTGAATGGCAAACCCACGAACGGTTGTTAATAGTTGACCTGCGTTCGAATTCTGCTGGGATCGGAAGTGATACTGTTAGGTCACTGAGTCCTTCGGGACATCCGTTAAAACTGGAACGATACGGAGAAGATTAGAATGAAAAAAAAAAAAAGGTTAGTAAATCGAGGTAGGTAGGTGGAGGGTGTGTGTCACCACCGCAACGGTGGGCCTACACAACTGACGATGCTCTTTGAGCACTGTAGGCCCCCGAATAGAACGCCTTGTTAGTCTTCGAGAGGTGGGTAGGTGGAGGCCTATCACATCTGACGAACTAGCTGAACGAGCATCGTCGTCCCCCGAATAGAACGCCTTGTTATTATTAATTTATTACAGTGAAGCTGGGAGCATATGGCCTGAAAGTTACGGTTTTTTTTTTTTTTTTTTTTTTTTTTTTCGGAGCACGCGAGGCTCCATCCATTGGTGAGTATGTTTTCTATTCGGGGGAAGACTGTACTCACGTACGTGTGTGCATCACCCAGCTGGCGGCCAGCTACCTTCTTCAGTCGAGCACAGCACCTGGTGATCGACTTGGTATCTGGCCGGAATATTGAAGGAAATGCACTTATAATAAAATCGGGCGGTGTATTCGGGGGGACTCGGTATCTGGCCGGAAAATTGAAGGAAATGCACTTATAATAAAACCGGGCGGTGTATTCGGGGGAACAAGGTACCCGGAACTTCGATTCTTCAGTTTGATGTGCACAGAATGCCACCGTCAAAAAAAAAAAAAAAAAAAAAAAAAAACTTCAACCGTCAAGGGAAAGGGGGGAAAAAGGTATGCAGGTAGTGAAAGGTCAAATTGAGAGAATAATATACTACTATAGCTTAGTTATGGGCGTGAAAAAAGCGGGAAAAAAAATGCAGAAAAATAAAATAAAATCGAAAACGCTCAGAAAAAGAGAGAAACAACAGTATTGCTAGTCAAGTTGGTCGAACAACTCGCAAGCGCTCCTTCTTCCTCCGAATACAACGTGGGCGCCTCCGAATACAAGGGAGGGCCTCCGAATACAACGTGGGCGCTTCCGAATACAACGTGGGGAGATCGCACTCGCCGCTGGCGATTGCCCAATCAGATCAATCATCGACCACCATCTTCTCCCGAATAGAACGTGTGATCATCATCATCATCATCATCATAACAATAATAATGATAATAATAATGATAATAAGAATGATAATAAGAATAAGAATAAGAATAAGAATAATAAGAATAATACGATTAAGAATAATAATACCCGTACCTGAACTGCAGATTGCCCCATAGATTCGAATATAAAGACCCCCCATGGATCCGAATACAAAGACCCGGCGATCTTCTCGGGGGAGAAGCGGTTGGGGCGGTAGCGTACAAGTGTTCTATCCGTTTCAGCCTGTGCGGATAGAACGACCCCGCGTTCTATTCGGAGTAAAAGCGCCGGCGCGGTATCATGTCAGCGTTCTATCTGCAGTTTGTTCAGAAAAATGTAATTAACATTGCAGATTGTGCGAATAGAACGACCCCGCGTTCTACTCGGAGAAAAAGTGTCGGCGCGGGACTGACAGGGACTGGCTTCTGATCCCAGATTGTTCAGAAAAATGAAATAAAATTGCAGATTGTTAATATTAAAAAAAAAAAAAAAAAAAAAAAAAAAACGTTGTCAATCCCTCACGCCTCGCCACGTCATCGTCATACTCATCCATGACATACATTCGCATCAAGCCGAGCTGGCAAATCATGTGATGTGGTGGTCACTGAACTCCGCACTCCCATCGCGTAAGCAATTTGATCAATTGCCAGCTCAACACAGTGACAGCTCTATCAGCCAGCTCCTAAGGAAAAAAAAGAAGGGAAAAGTTGGTGCCCCTGGGATGATGGAGCTATATTTAGATCCGAACGTCAAGCGGTGGACATGTGATCGGGGACGAAGGGTCGTTATGGTCGTGTTCAGTTGGAGCGTCGGCCAGTGAGAGAGAAGAGAAGATGATCGTTATGGACGAGCAACAAGAACCTCCAACCAACCTTCCGGACAGGGATTGGGAACGCGGGCCTGCCCACCATCGATTAACTCGGTTGGGTTTGTGTGTGTGTGTGTGTGTGTGTGTGTGTGTGTGTGTGTGTGCGTGAGAGAGAGAGAGAGAGGCCGG